TCTGAAATTCATTGTCATTATTTCCATTCATATTTTCCTCACAATGATAGTTTATAGCACAAGTAAATAGCTGCTCCATCTGTTCCTGCAGTTCATTTTTCTGTGTTTTTCTTCTCCCCAACACTCTGGGACCCATCAAACAGTTAGCTAATTGGATTTTTTGCACATACTACATCTCTTATGTCACTCAGCTTCTTTGTGAGCCAGTAAGTATTTTTAGAGATGCAGGAAGAGATCGAAAAAGTAACTTATTCTAATTAATACCAACACTTCTGAGACTTGTACATTTAATAATAGTATTCAACTTGGGGTTTTTTAAAATCACAGTTTAAATGCTGTCAAGACTCAAATAGTCTGTTTCATAGATACTGATGTTTGTTATCATAATATCGTCCTATGTAACAAAACTGAATGACTGTGTCAATATTTTCATATTACATCTTTCCACTTTATATTCAGATCCATGATTTTTCTTTCCATTTGAACTTTGCAGGTCATAATAATCTGCAATATACATTACTGATGTGAAACAGTGAAGTAGGTTATAGCAAGAATCTAGCTCTATTTGATACTGAAGGTCCAGTCTGACACAAGGCCTCGAGAAGATTCTGGAAGCCACAGTGACTGTGGAAAGCTAATACAGGTAATCTTTGCCTTATAACCATTCATTTAGTGATCATTCAAATTTACAATGGCACTGAAAAAACTGATTTATTTTGACCTGATCAGTTGCCTTACCTACATATTGAACCTGTTACTGTAAACATTGTCTTTCACAAGCAAATGAAATTTTGTTTTCTATAGTGAAATCCACCACCCTGGTGTTCTTGAAAAGTTTGTTTCTCTGAAGCAAATATGAAATTCTTTATATTCTCAAGGATGTGATCCAGGAATGTTGATGATAGATTTGGTGACTAGTGTAATGCTTCAATATAGGACTTTCCTGTTTTTCTTTTTTTAGGATAAAGTATTTAGAAATTGTTAAAATAGATAGCGTGGACTAAAAGTGATTGCTGACAATGGGAAAGAAATGCTAGGTCAAAGTCAACTACAAATGAGATCCATTGGTTTTGCTGTTAGTGTTGTTGTTTTGCACTCCATATACTTGAAGATCTTTTTGGAGGATGGCTCTTATGTTGATTTAGATGGGATATGTCCTCATTTCTTCAGATCAGTGGTTATTTATTTGGTAAAATTTATTTTTATTACAAATATATTCAGCTCTAAAGCCAAGCAATAGATATTATTCTTAATGCCTTAAAATGGCAGGATATTCAATTTAGTAAATATGGGCATCTGAGGATTTGTTGTAAAATTAGAAGATATTTATTGTTTTCAATGATATGCAAAACATCAAAGAAAACATCTGGGGATTTTCAGTGGCAGTGCTAAATAACAATTTGACAATTATTTAAGCTTTCTCCACCAGAAAGCATAATTGATATTCTACTACCTTGTAACTAATTTGTCATTGAGCTGTTTAGGGATATTATATTCCAAATTGTTAATGATTTTATTTTAAAGAAGAAGATATGCAACTATCTTTTCTGGATATGGGGGCTGTTAAACATAAGAGCCAATACATGTGAGAACTGGTATTGCAAAATTAAAGTAACCTCCATGGGAGAATTGTTGAAAATGTTGATGTTGGAGAAAAAAAAGTTTAAGACCCAAAGGCCAACATAACAAATTTTCCATTGTTCCTACATTGATGTATTTATAATATTTATCAAATTTTGCTGATTATAACACGTGATAATTTCTATGCAGCTGCTTCATGTAAATTAGTCTAATCACTAAAAAAACCTATTGTTTTATGATGTGGATTTTTAATGAAATAACTGTAACATGGCAAGACTTATATTATTCAATCTTTGTGTGCAATTTTAGAAAGTGGAGATATTGTCTTCTATTCTATTCTATTCTATTCTATTCTATTCTATTTTATTCTATTCTATTCTATTCTATTCTATTCTATTCTATTCTATTCTATTCTCATTATCTTTTTTGTCTTTTAATTATAATTCTTAGTTCTCTCTGGATCCCCTTAGTGTCCAACCCTCAAAATATGTTTTCCTGAAAATAAGACCCTGTACTTGGCCTTATTGCCATGTGCTCAAAAGCCTGATTGGCTTATTATCAGGGGATGTCTTATTTTGGGGAAAACAGGGTATTTTTTTAAAAAAAAAATAAACAAGAATTTTCCAATGGCAACTTTTTTAATGCATAATTTTAAAATCTTCATATTTTTGTAGAATTATAAACAATTCAAAGAAAGGTTTCTTATAATTAATTTCAAAATCTTAATTCAAATTCATCTGGCCCCTTAGTCCATTTATAACTTTGGCTTAATCAATGGCTTAATAATCTTTTTGCTGTTTATTCTAGAAAAATATTTTTAAGTCCTTAAATTTGCATAAACCTTTTTCCACTCAGGATTGAAGGAGACACATCTAGTGTAAGGAAACTTGTCATTCTGAAGGTTCTTAATGTACAGTATAAAAAGTGAATAAGCAATTTCCAGAAGTGATTAAGAAAGGAAATATGTAAACCCTGTGACAATAACAATAACGAATAATAACAAACCCTGTGGTTTGGACGAATGTCCTTGTAATCTTTTTTTCTTATCCCATTTCCTTGAAAAATAGTTAAGGAAGAAAAGATATACCGGTAGTCATTTTATAATATCTTTTAATTACTTACATCAATTACCACCCCTCCAAAACCTCTCCAGGGTATACATACCATTGGATATGAATCTTGCTGTATATGTAGAAAACATAAAAAGAATTTTGCTATGGGGCAGCACATTAAAATGACATGGAATTTGTTTTGCCAAGTTTAAGATTTAGTATAATAATCTTGTGAAGGAATCAAATAGTAGCACTGGAGGGGGAAATATTGATTCTTATATAGTATAGGATTATATGAACATGTTACCATTTTTGCATATTATTTGAGGAAGAGATTATATTCATTACATAAGTGATAATCTTACAAAATGAGCTTTATTAATTCAATTTTCACATTTTGATTTGCACAAAATATTTGTGGTTTGAAAACTTCCCACAATAGAGCCACTGATATATTTAAGCTGAACAAGGAGTTTTCAGTCATTTTATCAAAGTAAAGAATCAAAACTCAGGTCACTCACTTATGAACCCTACCAGATATGATGTCTTACTTAATTCCATCAAGAAAGACTACTTGTAAGCCTTAAAGTTAATCATTAATATAACTTCCCTTGGAATGTATTGACCTCTGCTGAACCTGGACCTGAATACAATATTTGTAAGCAAAGTATATTATACTTTTAATATACATCAACACCTTAAGTTCAGACAAAGATGTTTTGTAAGCTTTTCAAATATTTTCCGAAAGTTAAAAGCATAATATATTTGCAAAGTTCAACTGTTTAACATACACCCATAACACACCCTCCCAGCTCCAAATAATATAGTGAATAAGTCCCATTTGGAAACTTTTAAGAGCTACTGAAAACTTTAAAAGTTTTAAAAAATATTTAAATACAGGGAAGCAATACACCTTCACAATGACTATAAAAGGTAAAGGTAAAGGTTCCCCTCGTACATATGTGCTAGTCGTTCCCGACTCTAGGGGTAGGTGCTCAGCTCCGTTTCAAAGCCAAAGAGCCAGCGCTGTCTGAAGATGTCTCCGGGGTCATGTGGCCAGCATGACTAAACCCCAAAGGCGCACAGAATACTGTTACCTTCCCACCAAAGATGGTCCCTATTTTTCTACTTGCATTTTTTTACATGCTTTCGAACTGCTTGTTGGCAGAAACTGGGACAAGTAACGGGAACTCACCCCATTATACAGCACTAGGAATTTGAACCGCTGAACTGCCAACCTTTTGATCGACAAGCTCAGCAACTTAACCACTGAGCCACCACATCCCCTATAATGACTATAGTCATGCGCAAAGCATATCCCGCAAGATTAGGAATTAAAGTCCACACATCTTAAAGTTTCTTAGTTTGAGAAACACTGATCTAGGTAATAGTGAAACTAGCACAGTACAATCAGACCTACAATTGGCAGCATCATACACATCGTACTCAACTTATGGTCATATATTTAGCAACCGTTCAAAGTTACAACATTCTGAAAAAAGTGACTTACAACCAGTCTTACACTTAAAGCCATCAGAGCATCCTCATGATCATGTGATAGTGATTTGGGCATTTGGCATTCAGCATGTATCCTGAGGACCTGTGATCATCATGTGCAACATTCCCAGTTGGCTTCTAACAAGCAAAGTCAATGGGGGAAGATGGATTCACTTAATGACCCAGTTAACAATCATGTCAAAAAAGTTTGAAAAAATCAGGTACAGCTACATGACTCCTCACTTAATGATGCATTGCTTAGTGACAGCAGTTCCAGACCCAGTTGTGAATGTATGTCAAAGATTACCTGTAGTAATGTAAAGGGGGCCTTCTTTGGAATGGCTTACTCTCTGGTGTTAATTAAGACACCGTAAAATATAAATGAAATCCCCTCACATGATGTCAGCCGCTGATATTTAGATAACATAAAATAAAAACCAATTCCTTGCCTGCCAGGAGTCTTTTGCAAAGATCTAACTGGAGAGTGTTCACCATTTCACAGGTTGAATGGCAAGTATTTCCTGTTATCTCCTCCATTTTCCACTTTCCTCATCCTTTTTGAAGGAACTGTAACACCACTTATGACAGGTGCTGGAATATAGATAGTAGTGCCAGTTCCTGTTAGAACAGACAAGGAATATATCATGGAGCAAAATTTATGTCAAAGAAGACATATATCTTATATAGAGAAAAACACACGCATAGGTAAGATAAAATACCCATTCAGTTGTAGAAACAGAAACTGCAGCTTAACCATAAATAAGGAAGTTTGCTGTAACTTTAAGATAAGGAAACATATGTTTTAACAGATTATGAAAAGAAGCTGTTCCAGGGATGGAACAGAAACTATTTTAATAAACTGATACATTTTATTCTATTACGAATGATTGGCTAAATTGACAACTTTGAGTGAAAAAAAAATGTATTTTGACTCTTGATTGTCTGGTGATTTCTGTTTAATTTCTCGCTTGACCATGAATAGGAAAAAAGGAAAAAGTCTCATCCTTCTGACACAGCCAGAGAAGATCAGCCTGAAGAAACAAATGTCTTCATCAAAACTTGGATAGGAGTAAGGGAATGGTAAAATATTATGTAATTAGTTATGAATTAGCTTAATGTTGTGAAGAAGTCACAGGGGGGGATGGGTGGTGAGGGGGGGTTAGGGAAGGGGGGGGGAAAGGGGGAAAAACTTGTATTTGAAAACTTTTTCAATAATAAAAAAAAAAACTTGGATGAAAGATTTTATTGTTTTTTTGTTAGCAGGGATCATTCTGTCCCAGGAGTTTGTACTTCAACCAGTCCTGAGAAGATGAATCTTGAAGAAGTGGGATCTTCGGTGATACAACAAAGGGTTGAACCTCTTCTTATGTTTCAGAGGTCATCATATTCAAATTTTATATTTTAAAAATATGCAGGACTTTTAAAAAGTCAGTGTCAACTGATTAAGCATAGCAGGTCAAATAACCAATGCCCCTTTTACTAAATGGCAAACATTATTTTTGGACATACCTGCTCCGATAACCCACCACCGCTTGGAGCACTGTGTGTATGTGTATGCCTAGAGTTGTTGTTAGGGTATGTCGCTGCTCTATAGTTAAATCTTTTGCACCCTGGAATTTAATTTTTTTAAGCTCTTTTATTTTCCGTCAAGAAAGAATTTTTTCATTATGTTCTCTCTTTTTTTTTTAATTGCTTGCTGGGGTTGTTGGTATGTGGGAGTGTTTAGGTATGTGGTTTCCAATCAAACTTTGCAAAATTATATGTATGCATTTAACTATCAGTAAAGTCAAAAATATCTGGCTGTAGCTTCATTTATTATTTCATTTAAAACAGTGTATGTGTGTCAGTAGTGAGTTTCAATTTCGGCTGCTACCAGTTTGCTTGTGGGTGCACGTGCGCTTGCGCTCATGGGCGCACGCGCAGAGACGTCCAGGCAGGTGGGCAGAGCATCCTGACGCCGCTGCTACCGGTTCTCCCAATCCGGGGTGAATCGATAGCAACCCACCACTGATGTGTGGTTATGGATTTGTGCATGTGTTTTTTAATTAAACTTTGCAATAATATGTGCTGTTATATTTCAGGAAAGAGAGAAAAGCAGGCTATTGCTTTAAATATTTTTTTTTCTCCTGCATTCAAGGTGCTGTTTTTAAACATTCCACAAAAATATTTTTAGTACTTTATTTCAAATGTGCTCAGAATATACTTCAAAGTATAAGTTTTCAATAGAGTCAGCCATAAGGTTATCAGGGGCCGATGCAATCAAGTGGAGGATTATGTTAATCATTAACTTCAGGTCTGTTAAGCAGACTTTCTTGATAGTATTAGATAACATGTCTTATCCAGCAGGATTTTAAACCTGGTGACATCTACACCATGTTGTTTTTGATCATTTACTTTGATGATATCACTTATTAAAATTACCTAGGAGCTCAAATTAGTGGTTAACATACACCATAAACCATGTGATAGTATCTTCTAACACACTTTTTACTGTCCCTTTCTAGTGGTTCCTATATTGTTCCTATATATTTGACCAACTTTTTTAACAATTACAGGTAGTCCTCCACTTATGCCCAATCGCTTAGCAACCATTCAAAGTTATGACAGAACTTCTCAGAATTACTTACAACATGGATTCCAAGTTTATTTTTTATTGTCATATTTATATGCCGCTCTTCTCCTGAGGGACTCGAGACAGCTCACAGAATAGAACAACCCAACAATAAATAGAATTAAAATGTTGAAATCCGATTTAAAAACCCCAAATCCCCCAAATTAAAATGCACGGCAGATCAGGGAATTTGCTGAAAGAGCCATGTCTTTAGGTCGGCATGGAAGATGCGGACGTCGGGGGCCGTCTGGAGCCCAGTGGGTAAACCATTCCAGAGGGTCGGTGTGACCACAGAGAACACCCTCATCCTGGGGGCCACCAGCCAACACTGTCTGGCCGATGGGACCTGGAGGAGGGAAGTCCTATGTGAGCGCACTGGGCGGTGGGAGGCTGGTAGGAGGTAGTCCTGCAAGTATCCCGGGCCCAAGTTCCAATGACTGCTCTCCCATCTCATGATTGCACTCTGGACAGTCAGCAACCAACCCACATTTATGGCCATTTACAAGGTCCCGTGGTCATGTGACTGCAATTTACAATTTTTTTTAATTTTGCTGAAAGCTTGCATTTACTTCTGGTTTCTGGCAAACAAACAAACAAACAAACAAAAAAAAAAACCCACCACATTGAGGCAATGGATTTGCTTAATGACCACTTCATTTATTTTCTGATTGCCATGTTCGCTTAACAACTGACCTGCTTAACAATCAGCAAAATTTAAGGTTATAATTCCAGATTCAATTATAGTCATAAATTGAGGACTACCTGCAGTTCAGATTCACTCTGAATGAAATAGAAAAAAGCCTTAGGAAGACATATATGTAGTTACAACTGGTCGTTTAACAACTGTTTGCACTCATTGCAGCCTTGGAATATGTGCTTTACACCCTTAAAACCTTTCTGGCCATTGCAAAATGTTATGCTGACCCCACCCCCCCTCCTCCCCATTACATGAGTGCATTTTGGGCACTTGGCAACCTATTCATTTTTACAGTCAGTTGCCAAGCGCCCTGCAATTTTAAAAATAACAATACTGGAAGTCTTTAGATAAGAACTAATGTTGCAGAAGAGGAATCGAGAAAAGAGGAATAAGAGAAATAACTCATGCATGGACAAAACAGATTGAAGATGACCAACAGTGAATGGTGATGAACAATGAATTCAGGACACAAAGAGTTGCATTTACTCAACAATTAACCCACAAGTAATCAATGCTTGTCTAAGGGCTAGAAATAATTAGTTAGACATTGTCAGGGTCAGTTCAATACAGTTTGCCAGGAATAACTCTAGGCATCTGTTAGAAGTGATGGTTATGTCAAAATGACATCACGGTGCAGCATTTGATATGATGATGCATAACATTTCTTTTTATCCCACCCCAAAGGTACCATGGGAGAAGCAACCTTGATTTTGCACTTGTGTGGCTTTATACAATTCCTTGACAGCTGGGCTGATAAGAACTGAAGTCCATGCATCCAAACAACTAGTAAGACAGGCGGTATATATTTGTCAAATACAGAAACCAGCTATGCGCAGGAATCTACTTCAGCAGCTTTAATGTTTTCATTTTAGTTTATGCTTTTTTTAAAAAAGTCCAGTCATAAACTTCATCCCTCTTTCTCTCTCACCCCTCCATAATGTTTTCTATTTTTAAAAAAGTGGGATGGAAACAGTAACGTTGAAGTTGTCACATTCTATATGATGCATTAAATGTTGAAGTCTCTCCCACTTAGGAATGTATATTCACAATGGTATAAATATATAATGATTTCTAAAATTCACTTCAATAGAATTTTGGGTGATTAGAGATATGCCTTGCTTTCTAAATTCCCACATTTATGCCATGCTGTTTGACCAAAAATTGGAAACAAAACAATAAGTAATTAAAAATAGTTAAATGCAGCACAGTATTAGGTGTTTAAATTATACATTAAAATACAATTAAAATATACACTTTTTTAATTAAACAGAACTAAGCCAATTAAAAGCTATTTCAGCAGCCAGGCTGAATGCCAAAACCCATTTGAGTGAAAATATTTGCTAATCCGCTTTCTACTACCAACAATGTAGTAGACTGTGGAAATAGTCTCTGCAGAGTTTTAGATTCCTGACCACATAGTTTTATTTGGGGAAAAATTGGATTTGTTTAATGGTAATTAAATTGTATCCTTTTGGATCAGCTATGGAGTCTGGGGTTGAGCAGCATAATCTTGTGCTGGTTCAGCTATTTTCTCCAAGACCAGTGCTAAAAAGTGTTGATAGGGACCAACAGATCCAGCCTACAGCCATTCCTCTGTGGTATGCCACATGACTCTCTCCACTCCTTTTTAACATCTCCATGAAGTCACTGGGTAACATCATCCATCACTACTGGTTGAGGTTCATTAGTATGTGGATGACACTCAACTTTATATCTCTAACCTTGATGACCTAAGCAATGCTGTCTCTGCTCTTTTGGGGTGCTTGGAGATATGGTGTGGGGTCTGGATGGAGGATAACAGACTTCAGCTGAACCCTAGTGAGACCGAATGGTTTTAGATGCATGGAGCTTCAAGATCTGGACTTTGACATATGTAGCAATGGATGGAGTAGCAATACTCCAGGCAGACACAGGCTGCAATTTGTGGGTTTTCCTGGATTTGAGATTCTTGCCCAAAGAGCAAATTGCAGAAATAAGGGCTTGGCCTTATTATCGGGGGTCTTATTATTTTGGGGGTGCAGGAGGCCCCGGGCAGCCTGCGCACTCACAGCCGGGAGTCTGGCAGAGAATGGCTCCCTTTGCGCGCTTCCATCAAGCCCCTCCCCTCCCGGGGTGTGTGTGTGTAGAATGCGAGCGGCCCAAAGGCACCAAGCCGCGCAAGTGCCAGCTCCCATCCCCTCACGTGCCTCCCAGGCCTCATCACGTCGATGTGGGTGAAGCTGGTGAGCACCAGGTCCTTGAGGAGCTTGTAGCCAATGCTGCCAGCGCCCACCACTAGCAGCCGTGTAGAAGCCATGACCTGGGCCAGATCTTCCTGCAGGATCCAGCTCCAGCCGTCACCATAGAGTGGGAAGGACATTCCCAGAGCAGCCACTGCCCTGGCTGGGGTTTGGAAGCCACAGAGGCAGAGTCTGGGGGGAAAAAGAAAGACTTTTGCTGCTTCTGCTGCTTTCCTTGCATGCAGATAAAAGCAGAAGCAGCAGAAGTCTTTCTTTCTCTCCCCCAAACTCTACCTCTACGGCTTCCAAACCCCAGCCAGGGCAGTGGCCGCTCTGGGAGTGTGCTACCCACTCTATGGTGACAGTCGCCGGAGGCCTCCCCTTCCCCCCTTCCCCCATTCCTGTCCATTTTAGTTCACTGATTCCTAAGATGTCGACGTTCAGTCTTGTCATCTCTTGTTTGACCACGTCCAGCTTGCTTTGATTCATGGCTCTTACATTCCAGGTTCCTATGGAGAAAATTTTTTTATAGCATCGGACTTTCCTTTCACCACCAGATGCATCCACAGTGAGCATCCTTTCGGCTTTGGCCCAGTCACTTCATTCTTTCTACTAGTATTAGCTGTCTGCTCTTCCCCAGTAGCATACTGGACACCTTCTGAGCTGAGGAGCTCATCTCTCGGCATCATATCTTGTTTCCTTTTGGTACTGTTCATGGGGTTTTCATGGCAAAGATACCAGAGTGGGTTGCCATTTCCTTCTCCAGTGGATCACATTTTGTCAGAACTCTCTGCTATGACCTGCCCTTCTTGGGTGGCCCTCCATGGCATAGCTCATAGCTTCATTGAGCTACGCAAGACCCTTCACCACGACAAAGCAGTAATCCATGAAGGGGATAGATAGATAGATAGATAGATAGATAGATAGATAGATAGATAGATAGATAGATAGATATCTGCTTCATCCCTTAGCTATCCAATAATACAATTATTTAAATATTCATTGGGATGAATTACAATGATCTCACAAAAATATGACAGTGCTTGTTTTTGCAAGGGAACCTCCGGTACTTCATTTTCTTTTAAAGTGATTCACACATTAACTATGACTCACTTTTCATAAGTTTCAAAGATGTCTTGGGACACTGTCATCAGATTTAAAGAAGTTACACAAATACAAAGTATAAGTTTGAATATCCTCCAAATAGAAACAGTAACAACTACACCTAACCACGACACATTTAATTAGAACAAGTGAGAGAACTCTCTATAAAAACTA